TGTTCATAGCTGATTTCCGTTTGTGGCTCCTTGTGTTTCATCTCCACACAGCACAGGTGGAGGTGATATGGTTAGGGTGTAGAGTCAGTGCAGGACCATGCCGAGGGGCCAGGTTGGCAAGTTTGAGAGTTGGGTTGAAGCATAGAACAGTCAGATTGTGCAGGAGCCAAATGCCAAGTCTGGGGGCTGAGACTATTATGCAGACAGTAAAAGAGAATGGTAGGTTTATTTTTTATATTTTTATGGTTACATAGTAGATATTTCTATTTATAGGGTACATGAGATATTCTGAGATAGGCAGACATTGTGTAATAACTAATTACAAATGGGGCAAATCGGGTATCCATCACCTCAAACATTTATCATTTCTTTGTGTTACGGACATTCCACTTATACTCTTTTAGTTATTTTTAAATGTACAATAAATTATTATTGACTGTAATCACCCTATTGTGCTATCAGATAACTAGCATTTGATTCTTATTCATTCTAACTATATTCTAATAGTTAGATAAAATATAATCAGTCCCCTGCCCATTGGTTACCCATTAACATCCCCAACCCTTCCCAGCCTCTGGTAACCATCATTCTACACTCTGTTCTACTCACAAGTTCAATTGTTGTAATGTTTAGCCCCGATTCTGATTTTTAATTTAAATTGAATTTTTAGCTCTCATCTACTCACAAGTTCAATTGTTTTAATTTTTAGCTCCCAGAAATGAGTGAGAACATGTGAAGTTTGTCTTTCTGTGCTTGACTTATTTCACTTAACATAATGACCTCCAGTCCATTCATGTTGTTGCAGATGACAGGGTCTCATTCTTTTTTATAGTTGGATAGTACTCTGTTGTGTATATGGATCACATTTTCTTTGTCCAGTCATCTGTTGATGGATACTTAGGCTGCTTCCAAATCTTGGCTGTTGTGAACAGTGCTGCAGTAAACATGAGAGTGCAGATATCTCTTCAGTATACTGATTTCTTTTCTTTGGGGTGTGTATCTAGCAGTGGAATTGCTGGATCATACGAAAACTTTAGGTTTTGAATTGTGGGTTTTTTAACTGGCAAGTGTGGTGGGATTGGTAACTGTGTGCAGGAAGGGAGTAAGACAGGCGGGAGATCAGGTGGAGGCCAGAAGGGTCTTAATTAGGGGTGTAGAAGTGAAACCAGGGAGAAGTGGGCCTCTGAAGACACTGTTGAAGTCCTCTTATTACCGCTCAGCCCCCGGCCATTGGAAAGATCCTTGATTGGGCCATGAGAGAAGGGTAGTATTTTTAGTCATGATCATAGCTGACTTCCATTTGTGGCTTCTTCTGTTTCATCCCTACACAGCACAGAAGTGAATGTGCATATTAGTAAATGTTGAAATAGAGTTCTTTTTTTACTTGATTGGCACATTAGATTCTGTTCAGATGCTCAGTCCTTATTTTGCTGCACGTCCATCATGGCTGTGTGCCTACAGCCTAAAAAAGTGGCAGAGGAAATGTTGATTGTAAGGTTTCAAGTCCACGGGACATCAGGGCCTTAAACTCTCTGTGTATTGGCCTCCAAGTGAAGTGTAATGAGATTCAGTACTAACAAATCATAAATTCTTTTTCTTGGACAGTTGACCATTTCATATGAAAAGACATGGGTTGCAAAACTAAGGTACCGGTTAAGCTAAGGACACTTGTTTAAAATACTCTCTTTTAGCTTCCCCACATTGTCAGGAACCCAGGGACATTTCTTGTTCATATTTGTGTTTGTATCAGTGTCTCCATGTTTGTTTCTCTGGAGAAGTCCCGGGCCCCTCACATGTCCAGTAACTACAGATGAGCGTTCTGCCATGGCAGGAGGGACCACTGGGGGTAGGAACGGTATTCTTAGGAATGAAACTAGAAAGAGGAAGTGAATCCAGATTAACTAGGGTGAGTGTGACAGTTTGTAGCTGGGAGAGCCCCACAGATCATTAGCGCCGACAGGGACTGCCAGAGTCATTTGGGCCAGTGTGTTCAGGCTGAGCCTGTCCTGGTAGAGAGAGGGAAGGCCTTGCAGCAGGGACTCTAGGGCCCCTCCACCTTCTTCAGCTAGAACTATTCTACCTTGATCAGTTGTACATATTAGGGTTTCATGGAAGTGTTATTTTTAAAAATAAGACAATTATTGGCTGGGCACAGTGGCTCATGCCTATAATCCCAACACTTTGGGAGGCCAAGGTGGGCGGATCACTTGATGCCAAGAGTTTGAGACCAGCCTGGCCAACATAGCGAAACCCTGTCTCTGCTAAAAATAAAATAAAATAAAAATTAGCCAGGCATGGTGGTGCATGCTACTGGGGAAGCTGAAGCACAAGAATCACATGAATCTGGGAGGCAGAGGTTGCAGTGAGCTGAGATTGTACCACTGCACTCCAGTGTGGGTGACAGAGTAAGACTCTGTCTCAAAAAAAAAAAAACCCCAACTTTTTTATTAATAAAAAAATTAACATCTGGCTATTCTTTCATGGTACAAAGGGAAATCAAGTCCCAGAGTAGGAATGTGCATTATCTGAGCCTGAGTTGTTGGTGAATGGCTTGGAATGCCTTTAAAAAAAACCACACAAAAAAAACAAAAAACGCCGGGCACGGTGGCTCACGCCTGTAATCCCAGCCCTTTGGGAGGCCAAGGCGGGTGGATCACAAAGTCAAGAGATCAACACCATCCTGGCCAACACGGTGAAACCCCATCTCTACTAAAAATACAAAAATTAGCTGGGTGTGGTGCGCACACCTGTAATCCTAGCTACTCGGGAGGCTGAGGCACAAGAATCACTTGAACCTAGGAGGCAGAGGTTGCAGTGAGCTGAGATTGCGCCACTGTACTCCAACTTGTTTGTCTCAAAAAACAAAACAAAAACAAAAACAACAACAAAACACATTATGTGGTCACAGAAGTGCCTTTTTGAGCCCTATTGCAGACAGGAGTGGAGTTGAGTTTTCAGGCATCACGGACCCTCACTTAGGTTTCTGTTTCTGACTCTTTGATGTTATCAGTAATCAAGTGGTTGAGGATGTCTAGCCTTTGAAGCAGACTCAATTCCCATTTGGACCCCAATGCCATGTCAACTGAGGTGTCTACCTCTCACAGTTGAGGCACTGTTTTTTTTTAGCCCTTGCAGGTCTCTTGCTTGGCCATGAAATTTGGGGATTCACCTGGCCAGCTACATAAAATAGCCCAAAAGGGTTAGTGTCCCACCGCCTCTGCAGGGCCACAGGCTGCCTGACAGTTTATCAAAGAAGTCCTCTTCTGGAGGCAGCCTTAGCTGGTTGGATCATTGGTGCAAGGACACCAGGAGAGCATGTTGGAGTTAGCTCAGCCAGAGTCCATGTCATTACTCTGCCACTTAATAGCTGTATGACCCTGGACAAGTTCCTTAACCACTCTGGCCTCCGTCTCCTTATTAGTAAATTGGGAGAATCTCTTAATATTATGCGTAAAATGAGCTTGGTGCTGGGATTTGATTTTTCACCATTTCTACCAACTGCCCTCTACCAGGACCTTATGAATTGCCCTGAAAGGTGCTGGTTATACCTGCAAAAGGAGAGTCTTGAGTCACTGGTGGAAAGCAGGGCACAGAGTCTAGAGGTCTCCACAAAATTAAATGAGCCACCCATTGAGCAGACAGAATACTTCCAAGGAGTGGTAGTCTCTTCATGAGGAAGAACCACCCAATCATCAGAGCTGTCCAGTAAGAGATCATCTTGTGAGATCATAAAGCTGATGAAGATATTTATATAACTTAATATATTTGATAGAGAACTTTCCAACTCCTACTTTATTGGTTTCTTGCAGCACTCCTATGAGAGAGGCACAGGCAGTATCAATATTATTCTGGTTTTATATAGGGTAAATCCAAGGCCCGGGGAATTTAAGTAGCTTGTTAATGATCACAGAGTAAGTAGCAGATCTGGGACTTAAAACTGAGTTATTTATTGACTTGAATATTTTGTGTTTCCTGTTACGATTCTGCCAAAAAGCTGCCATCACCAGAAGGTCTCAGGCATAGGCTGGTCGGGAATACTGCAGAAGGCATTTCAGATCAGCTTGGGTGATTGCTGTGTGGTTTGGGGGACCACAGGATTCCCCCAGACACCTCCCTCACTCATCAGTCTACCTCATTTGGCCTTTGTCACTGCATTTCTTTGAGTCAAGACCTGGACTCTCTTGCTTCTCTTTGAGACAGAGATAACTGTATGAAGAGTGATACATTTGTCCCAGAGCACCTTCGTGCGAATGCATGTACTGGATCACTCTTCTCCCTGATAAAAACTGAGGCAAAAGAGGTTAATTCAGCAAACCTTATCTGAATAATTCCTTTTTGTCAAGTGCTGTGCCAGGCATTGAGAATACAGAAATTAACTTCACACATTCCTGTCCTCAAGGAACTCTTAGATTTGCAGGAAAGGCAAACAGAATGTCAGATGCCATGCAGGTGGCAGCCAAGGGGAGAGAGCAGTGCACCGCCCTGTGGGAATCTCAGCCCCTTGGAGAGGGAGCAGTGAAGGAGCAGCACATGGGCAGCAGCTCACTTTAGGGAGCAGCGAAGAACCTTACCCAGCTGGTCCATGGGCCCGAGAAAGGAGGTCCTGACAGATTTTGGGAACTGTGAATGTCTGACTGAATTTGAGGGTTTGTGAAGAGTTTAGTGGAAGAAAGAATTGGAGAAATAGTCTGTATGTCATGATGAGGCTTAAAAAGCTTTATTTCTTGAGCTGTGAGGAATTAGCAGGGTTAAACAGGGGCATCAAAATCAGAATTAGTAACTGGTCTTCCTTCTTCCACCTCTTCTCTAAAAATCAACCAGGGCAATTTTCCTAAGGCCAAAGGCTGAGTGAGGAACCCTGAGGGCATACCCAGGCTGCGTGGCTGGGTGAGGGGAAAGGGGCAGGTTCAGACCACCTTTTCCAGGTCGATTATAGTTAGTGACTGATGACACTGTGGTGCAAGGGAGAGAGAAAAAGTCAAGAGTGACTCACAAGTTTTTATTTGAGATCTGTCTTGCTTATTTCACAAAGAGTTGCAACCTGAATGCTGAAGATTATCCTTCATGGCAAGTTTCAGAATACAGCCTCAGCTCATTTGCCAAATCTTGCCAGCCTGATAAACATTTCTCTTTTGGGGGCTGGCATCTCGTTTCCTTTTTCTTCTCTTCTGAAATGATTATATCAATTTTTGTACTTCAAGGAATTGGTGAGAACCTGGTACATATTATATACTCGATAAATGAATAATCAAATGAGATCAGTAATAAGGAGTGACATGTAAAGTCACGCTGGTCATGGTAAAGTGGTGGACATAAAATGCGACTTTTGTGACTCTGAAACAGCTTATGCATTTGTGCTAACATAATGTTTGATAGTGGAATGGTAAAATACAGAATTCTGCAGAATTTTTCAGTACTTATGTTCACGTATAATGTTGGTCATGCCTGATCTTATAGCAGCAGCAGCCACAGGAAGGTGAGGTAATTAGGCAGATCACAGCGGAACAGGTTGCAATCACATTCCTTTCAACCTTCTCTCCTCTCTCCCCAACCCGCACAGTTCTGGTGGGGGGTGGGTTGTGTTACATGCTTTACCCAGGATCCCAGGCGTGCCCTGGGTTCGACTTCTTTCTCTAGACTAATCCAGTTCCCAGCCTGGAGCCTAAGCATACACTGCATTAATCAGACTTGCTGGAATGATCACATGGTTTTCTAGCTGCCTCCCCTGTTAGCTGCTGCTTGTCAGCAGCTGGCGGAGCTGGAGGCTGCAGGCCCCTGTCTGCAGAAAGCCTTTTACTTCAGAATATTGGGGGGTGTGGAAACCCCGCCTATTTTTTCTGCACTTTGCACCACCTGACTAACTAAATGGTTGTCCTCCATACCAAAAAGACTACCACACAATCTAAGGAAATTGTCTTTTACTAGGTCATGTTTGCATTTGAAGAATTCAGGTATGTTCTGGGCTTTCTACATCAGTCTGCTGCTGGCTTTTTGTTCTCGCTAGGTTTTTGCTGTGTAATGACAGCTTAGGCTCTGGCTGGTTCTCACGAAAAAAGCAGGGTTCTTTTCAGCGTATGGTGGGGTTTATCCCAGTCATGGGGGTGGGAGGTGCAGAGGTGGTGCAGGTCAGGGGTGTTTACTGTGTGCAGAAGTGCAGCGTGGATAATTGGTCTGATCATGTGTGAATTTGTCCAGGACCCCACCTTGTGCCTTATTTGAGCTGCTGTTGCTGGTGTAGAGTTACGAATACAGAATAGAAACTGGGTGTCCAGAATGAGTCTCTTGCTATCTTTTGTTTTTCTTCCTTTGTCAACTCGTGCAGTCTACTGCTCTTTTTAAAAAATGCTAATTGTAGCAGTGAAGGTGAAAAATTCTGCAAGTCTGTCTGCATAGTTGAGATTTGGTTTTGGCTCTTCTTGTCTTCATTATTTTTAGTAGTAATCTCATCGCTGGGCTGTTTTCTGGGAAGTGCCCTGCTAGTGTTTTGTTAACAGGGCTCTTTGCTTTCGTATGCTTTTCAGCTGCTGTAATTATTAGTGCTCCAAATTAGATCTTTTGTGAATCTTACTCCCTCTCTCTTCTCCAGGAATCTATCCCTGGATATAAATAAATATGGGAAGGGATGTTCCAATAGAAAGAGTTTCTAAGAAATGAAAATAAAGGAGGCAGAATGGGAGGGTCATCAGATTCTTCTTGTGCATATTTCCACCCCTCTGAACCATATGGAAGAGTGTGTGTGTGTGTGCGCACTTCCGACCTCTGAAAGCTTCTCATTTTTCAAATGCAATTTTTGTGCATTTTAGAACTCAACATAAATTCCATATTGATGGGCAAAGAGTGATTGTGCGGGAACCTCAGTTCTACCTCTGCGGGCCTTTTTTGTTCCTCCAAATGTTGCTGCAGTAGACATTAAAACAATAAGAGAATAACCACCTTTCATTTTTCTGAGAGAAGACTACAGACCTGTTAGCCAGTCAAGGGAGTAGATAAGAGGATGGTTAGAACTCCACAAAGAAAAGTCAGACCATAAAGGTTGTCCCCTGCCCTTTTCAGTAAACTTGATGCTTTGGATTCAGGAAGTTATCCTTTGTTTAACCATGTGTCTCTGCATTATTTCTAATGGCCTGGGTTTGCAACAAAGAAATTCTTTCTATGTGGCAGTGTGCTCTGGTGACATGGACCCCTGCCCTTACAGAGTGACCAGAACTTTTATAATAGACCCATTAGATGACTAACAAGAATTTATATAATGTCTGGCATGTTACAGTAGATAGGCCCCTAGGGGAATGAATCAGGAGTCCTGGGTTCTAGTGTCTGTTTCAGAAGTAGCTTTTGTGATCCTTATGAGAGTTATGGAAATGTTCTGTAATTTGTAGAAAGCAGCACAATTGCATGGTTCACATTTTATTGTTAGCATTTACTTTAGATGAAGTACCCCTTATCTACCCTCTTGAACAGAGCTTGGAGACTTTCATTACATTTCATGGTTAGGGAAGAGTGTTATGCATCAACACATCCACTCCCATTGTGGTGGGCTTCTAATCTAAGAGTCAAGAGCTGGGTCTGATGAGGTGGGAGGGGTTGAATTAAATGCCATTGCACTGATTGAGGAAAAGGGGCCATCATTATGAAGGGCAGACCACAAAGGGGAGGCCTGTTACCCCCTGCTTCAAGCTTTTGCCTAAGCTGGCCCTGAAAAATTTTACTGGAGGTGACTGCATATTCTCACTGCTGCATGGTGCCAGACAAACGGCTTTCTTCTCTACTCATGGAGTTTGTGTCTGTGGGGCCCGGTGATCATGGTGGGGCCACACAGGGACTGTAGAGGTACCTAGCTTGTTAGCTTAGTTCAGGGGGTTCTCTAGCTTTAGCATACAGCAGAATCCCTGGAAAGCTCATGAAAACTCGGATTGCTGTACCCCACTCTCAGAATTTCTCATTGAGTGATCTGGAGTGAGGCCTAAGAATCTGTGTTTCTAACAAGTTCACAGGTGAGTCTGATGCTGCAGGTCTGGAGACCAGACTTACAACCATTGGCTTAGGAAAAGCAGAAGATTGACCTTCATGGAGATGGGAAGTTTGAGGCAAAGGCAGGCTGGAGGTATGGGTAAGAAAAATTGAGCGCAGACAGAAGCAGTTCAAGGACAGGTAGGTGAACCATCTGTCACCAGGGGAGGTCTTGCAGAGCAGTAAGATTATAAACCAAGTTCTCTATTTCTTTGGGATGAGAATCGGAGAACTTGGTTTATAATCTCGATGCTGCTATGACTAACTTGGTGGGCTTGGCAAGTCTCTTGATCTTTCTTAGTGTCAACTGAAATGGGGAGAGTGATTCTCACCAAAAAATTCCATAACACTGTTAGAATTTAATGGGACAATATAAACTGTATAAATTACAGCAGTTCTTCCTACATGAATATAAAGGGGGAAGCACATCCTGGGGCCAACTCCATCAAGGTTATCCACACGTGCCATTAGGCCTTGTTTGTGGACACGCTCCTCCACACATCCCCAGCCCGGAGAGCACGAAGAAGGGCCACATTCTTTTTTTTTTTTTTTTTTTTTTTTGGAGACAGAGTCTCACTATGTCACCTGGGCTGGAGTACAGTGGTACAATCTCAGCTCACTGCAACCTCTGCCTCCTGGATTCAAGCAATCCTCCTGCCTCAGCCTCCCGAGTAGCTGTGGTTACAGGCATGCACTACCACGCCCAGCTAACTTTTTTGTATTCTTAGTAGAGACGGGGTTTCACCATGTTGGCCAGGCTGTTCTTGAACTTCTGACCTCATGTGATCTACCTGCCTCGGCCCCCCAAAGTGTTGGGTATACAGGCGTGAGCCACCACACCTGGCTGGCCATATTTGTTTTTAAAAGGAAGTCTGATTTTGACTCAGACGCATTTACTTATTGGACTGTGAATTCAGGAGCAGAATTCATGCAAACAACAGAATCCTGTCTGTTTTTGTTTCCTTGGTGCCTACAACTGCTTGATGCACAGTAAGACTTTAATAAGCAGTTGGTACAGTGCATTTTAACCAGAACTTAACAAGGAAAAGTAAGCAAGCTATCTGGCTAGCTCAGCACAGTCCTGAGGTCGGTGTCATGGTGCCACCTGGGCTGTTTTGTGTGCTAATTCAGGAGAACATGTGGAAAAGCTGATAACTGACCTCCTGAGAAAAACGTGGTGTCCTCAGCACACCCCAATTGCTGGAGTGCCAGAGAAGTCATCACGTTTCATTAAGGAATCCCTGCAGATGATCTCACTCCACAGCGCACTGATGGTTGTCATGATTTACGGCTGCCTGGGTCCCAAGCCTAGAGAGTAATAGGAGCTTTAGCGGTCAGTCCAGTGTTTTACAGCTGCCTAGGGGAATTTTGCCTGCCATTGCCTGCAAGACTATTGTTCTACCACCAGGCAAGCTGTTCTAGCTGGCTCTTGGGGTAGACACAGGTCACTGTCCTTTTGCCTTTTTTTTTTTTTTTTTTTTAAATTTTGGGGACAGAGTCTCGCTTTGTTGCCCGGGTTGGAGTGCAACGGCGCGATCTCAACTCACTGCAACCTCTGCCTCCCAGGTTCAAGCAGTTCTCCTGCCCTAGCCTCCTGAGCAGCTGGGATTACAAGCGCCCACCACGAAGCCCAGCTAATATTTTTTTTTGAGATGGAGTTTTGCTCTTGTCTCAGGTTCAAGTGCTTCTCCTGTCCCAGCCTCCCAAGTAGCTAGGATTATAGGCATGTGCCACCATGCCCAACTAGTTTTGTATTTTTGGTAGAGACAGGGTTTCTCCATGTTGGTCAGGCTGGTCTCGAACTCGTGACCTCAGGTGATCCGCCTGCCTCAGCCTCCCAAAGTGCTGGGATTACAGGCATGAGCCACCGCACCTGGCCTCCTTTTCCCTTTTTAAAAAGCTGTCTTAGATTTCCTTCCTTACTGAACTGCAAGTTTTAAGTAAACATTTGCCTGTTTCTACACACCACAGAGACTGTCTTGAGCATTTTGTGAAATATCATGTAGTTTTCCTTCTACCTCTGGACCCAGAACACTGCCTATGTTTCCTTACCACCCCAGAATGAAGAGTTTTAAGTGTAACTTTTCCCCCCATAATCTGTCAAGTGAGACTGGAGCCCAAATCAGAGACCTTTGTTTCTCAGAACTCCATATATTTGACTTATTCCGATCTATTTCCAGGAGGAATGTAGTGTACCAAGATCTAAAATCCACAATTGCTATTTGTTAGTCACGTGAAAATGGAAGTTACTATTTTGAGTCTGCTTTATTTTTAAACAAAAACATCATGGAAGGGTTTGAAGTTCAAATTCTAACCAGCTTTCTTTATTAATTCAAATTTATATCTAGTCTTGGGAAATGTTGTGATTTTTCTTGCCGTTTCACTGGAATATTGAAATGAGTCAAAATGAGTAGTACTGGGGAAGGCCTGAAGTTGGCAAGGCTAAAGAACCATCCAAGTGTCAAGAGCCCAAGCCAGCTTGGTCTCTCTCATTTTCCAGGCTCCTGTAGTACCTTGAAGAAACAGATGTTTAGTACATTGATTGAGCTGAGGAAGTAAGTCTCAGATGAACAGGGGGTAGAGACTGGGCCAGGCAGGGAAGGGAAAGGAAAAGAACCTTGATCATTGAATACCTGCTGTGTGCTAATTGCTTTGCCCAAGGTAACTTTAACTCACATAATGAAATGGACTCTCTCCTGCATACCACTCTAGCCAAGTGGGCCTTGTGCTCCTCCTCCAGACCTCTTCATTGGCTGTATCTCTGCCTGGATTGCCCTGCCCCCAGGCAGCCATGTGGCTTGCTGGAGATGAAAACACAGTCCACATCAGAATTTGTCCTAAACCCTGGCCCATATATCCATCTGCTTGTTTGATGTCACTACTGGAAGCCTCATTAGACATCTCAAACATGTCTAACACGGTTCTCCAGCTCTTTCCTATCCGT